CGAGACCCACCCGGGATGAAAAAATTTTATCCAGTAATTTTTTCAAAATTTGTTTTTATGAACTATTTAATCAATTTACTCAACTGATAATTGTGTTTTTCATACTAAATCTTTATTATTTTGTGTTTTTATGTTTAGGCCCCATGGGATGTTTGGAAGAGATATTAAATACATTTGTTATTTAAATATTATCATAGATAAAACATACTCCCTTAGTAGATTTCCCATCCTTATGGAACAGCTGAAGCCAGTTTTATTGTTAGTTCTGTACGGTTTTCTGTAGATGTCGTGTTTTGTTTACAATTTGTTTCCCGTTATTACAGCCATTTAAAACCTCGTTTAACCAAATAATACGATCTAATCATAAACAATAACTTGTCCCCTAGTTATTTAACCAAACAGTAAAGCACAAATCAAGAAATTAACCCTAAAATAATAGAAACAAAATTTCGTTGACACTAGCGCCCAGTGTGGCGTACATGAACTAGACATGAAAAACGAGCTTCAAAATTTACAATGGGATGAGAAGTCTACTTGTGTTGGTTAGTCTATGATATTATTCACTAAAATATATTATTGGAACATATTTTTTAAATATTTAATAGATTCAAAAACATATTTTTTATATATTTAATATATTTTAAATATTATATAAAATTGACATTAATACACACTTGAGATATATAAAATAGATTTTAAATACATTTATTCATATGTATTTAATATATATTTGTGCTACTAGGGAATTTCTAGTTTTATTTAATAAACAGAATTATTTTTCCGATTACTAAACTTTTGTTATATTATTTCTTTATCAGCAAGTTTGGTTAGTTCGGTTAGGTTATGATAGTTTAATTTTATAATTAAAAAATAATAAAATTGAATTTGAGGCATTTATAATTTTATTTTATGAACAGAACTATTTTTGCGATTAGTATACCTTCATTGCCAAAGTGCTCTCTACTGCAGCGCTGTTCACGGAGGAATTTTGAACTAAATGCCTCATTCGTACCTCCCCTAAGTCAGACCCTTAATATTACGGTTTGAATTAAATAAAACATGTGATCTTGTTTCTAAAAAGCATTGCTTACTAAGCATTGATTATAAAAATATCTCATTATATACTATGTGAACCAACAAAAACATTAACACTCTTACTACTAAAACAAACAGAAACATACTTTGCTCTACTATTTATAGCTCCTACTATTCATGCACAGAAGGCAAGTGCATATACAACTTAGTTTTTTATTGTTGTTTTTAAATTGAAATATTTTTATATCAGCTTAGAATTAGGAAATTTAACGTCATTCAAACAATGTTTATGTCAAAGGGTCGGTTAAGTTAAGAGGAACCTGGTTGAAAATATACATGTAATGACCATGGAACGCTGTGAAAAGTTATTCATTATTAGAATAGAACGTGAAATCTACAGGAAGTGTCAAAAGTTATAATATAGATAGGTAGTAGCTACCTCTGGATTAGAAAACATCATAACTAATCTATGGGTAGTACAAGTGAAATTATGATTTAAAAATGTGCGAAAAGACAAATTGTGTGAACAATATTTCTTACAAAATGGCAAAAATATACAATTAATTATCTCCTTGAGAAAAAAGTTTCAATTTTAAGGTGTTTGTGCCCTACTCTAAACTCATTTGAAGTATTCAAAAATGTTAAAATGATTCAAGTAAATGTGACTATAATTTCACTATTTTTTACACCAAAATCTTTCAATACAATCATTCACATTAGCAAAATTTTAAATTATTAGTTAGGGTTGGATACAGCAACAGATATACAATCTCACTTAATTCATAAAATCAATAATCAATGAACCATCAAATATAAGAATAAATAAACATGTCACATGATAGTAGAGAATATTATATGCCTATTTATAAACCAGCTGTGGAATTGTGAATTAATGTGGTTTGACAGTTCAGCTTGTTTACATTTGGGTGGCATAGCAAATTGCAAACATTGTATTTGTTCTCATGGCAGCCATGGAGACCAATCAATATTTACTTTTAAAATTCTCACCTCAGAACTTTTAAAGCCAAAAGTTCGGTCAGTATCGAAGTGCGAATATTCCTATAATGGTCCTTGGTATGGTAGCTATATTTTTGTAAAATTTAAGCCCAGTCAGTTCAGTAGTTTATGTGCCTATTAGTAACACACATACAGACAGACACCACTAGATTTTTATATAATAGTATAGATATAGATTAGTAACACACATACAGACAGACACCACTAGATTTTTATATAATAGTATAGAAGATGGCCAAATATTATGATTCAATACATACATTTTTTGTTCAGACCTTAAAAAAGGAGAACATGTCAATTTTTCAATTTTGTTTATCAATGAACTAATTGTTTTTTCAGAGTAAAATACTATGCTTTCAGAAAAATTTACTCCTAAGTATTTAATTTTTTCATTAAATGTTATAGATTTTATTTCTTTTGAACATATTTGGAAGTTTTCCTCTTGTAATCTACCTTTTTCAATGTTAATAATTTTAGTTTTAGCGAATTTCCCTATAGGGAAGTAGCTATTACCGTAGGTCTCATGGTAACACTTAGGCCCGGGACCGATTTACTTTTTCATTTTGATGTCCCCAGAGGCCAAAAACACCATCCGTTCAAATTTTTATATATGTATATATATATATATGTGTCCGTGAACACGATAACTTGAGTAATTTTTATCCGATTTTGATGAAATTTGGTTTAAAGGTGTAAGGCGGGATAAACTTGAATGAGTTCGCGATCCAGCATGATCTGACCATGGGAACAGGGTTTTATGGGGTAAAAATTGGTTTTTCTCACTTTTGACCCTCAAAACACAAAGTTTCCCAATTTTCCTCTAAACCTTCTTAAAGAGCTTAAAAAAACAAACAATTCAGTATATCAAAGTGTTTTTGTACGGTTATTGGTTACAGAGAAAACTAAAAAAATGGTCAATTTAAAATTCCCATGTTATTCTTATGGAAAATATTGTAAAATGTTGTAGTTTGCTTGTTTATGGATATCTTTTGATCAAACTTGGCAAATATATTCATTTTATACTAAGCAATAATTATTTTACTTAAAACACACACTTTATTAGTTTCCTTGTAGCAGCAAACCTAGGTACTCGTTAAACCTAATGTTATTTAAATAGATCAATTGAAAATCAATTCTGCCAAATGGAAATTCGCTAAGAAGGCAGGTTTGCTGCGGCGGGGGTATTTGATATATTTATAGTTAATCCAATTTCTCTGAAGAAGTCACAAATTGAATCGAATAATACAAGAGCACTTTCTCTATTCTTACCAATTAAAATGGTATCGTCAGCGAATCCTAGAATACTTAGAGAAGGCATGTCCTTGCATAGCTTAAATAAACAAACTGCTGTCATTTGAATTGATCAGCTGTTTTCAATCATATAAATAATGTAAACTTCGAAAGCATGTAAGGCATAGCCTTTGACTTAGCTTTTTGGAAATTGACCTGTTCGGCAAAGCCCTTAGGACATTTGTTCATACCTATAATTTTTGACAAATCTACACAGACAGAGATTTATTTTTATTAGGTAAATGACCATCAAACGATGACCACAAATTTTACTATATCACTTTGATAATCGGTACAATAGATAATAGTTTTGTAGCACTATGTTTTGTTTAGTACCATTGTGTTTTTATTCCACCAGTGTTTATTTATTCAGTAAAAAAAAAATGTATAGAGTACAATAACATATCTAAATTTTGGTAATAAAAAAAACCAAATAAAGTGCAACCATTTCTGAATCAAAGCCATGTTTCAGTATTTTATCACCTCTGAGTTCCTGACTCACGCAGTTGTTTTTTTAGTATCAAGTAAGATTACTTGACCATCCCACATGGTGTCAAATATCAATTTTGAATCATAGCTTTACTATCAAATAGGCATCAACATTTAGGCTGGTGGCGAGACTCTTTATAATATTACCACGTGTGGATGCCTTCATTTGCTTCCCCAAATCTTTTTTATCTTTTTGTGGGGCACCTAGTCTAGTTACTCTTGCTCTTGAAGAAGCTGAATGATCCCACGAGAAGTTCCTTACTTCTTTGTAATAATCCTTACTCACCTTGTTACCCGCACCCAAGTGAAGTCTGAGTTAACATTTGGCAGTTTTGAGTTTACTTTGTGATAATGCCCATCTCAGTGGTTTGAAGCTCACCATAAGCTTTGTACGCCTACGATGTAAACAAATAGAATGGTCTTGATCTTCTCCTCCAAGACGATTTTTTTTGTCCCACCTTCAAATTCAAATAATCTTTATTTGTTAGTAGTATACAATACATACATAAATAGTGTCAAATATACAGGTATTGAAAAATGAAAAACAAAGGTTTCTTAGAATTAACAATATAGGCTATGCAAAATTTGACATTACCTCCTACAACTCATCGAAAGAATATATAGCTTTGCTGATGAGGTACTGCTTCAATTTAATTTTGAATTTTTTTGTTGACACCTCTTCTGTTATGCTTTTTGGAATTTTGTTATAAAATTTTGAACCAGCATATTTAGGTTTCTTTTTGAAAAGTTCCAGAGTGTGATAGCTCATTGCGATACAGCCCCGATTTCTGGTGTTATATTCATGATTGTTACCGATTAGCTCCAATTCCTGAAATCTATTTTTTATGGATAAAACAGTTTCAAAAACATACATTCCATAAACAGTCATTATGTTTTCTAATTTAAAATAATCTTTAACTGAAGTTCTGGGTTGTAAATTACGAATTCACATACTAGTTCTAGCCCGGAACTATTTTGCACATTACTTTAGGCTTGTCTTAGAGCGTTGCGGCATTCAGATAAAATCCATTGGTAATTGGCATGATTTGAAACCAGGACCTTGGGCAGTTTTTTGGCATTACCCATTGGCTTCGATAATTGTAAAATTAATCATCAGGAGAGTGAATAGTAAACTTAAACTGAATGAGTTGAGGTGAAAAAAATTTACGTCCAAAAATAAATGCATTTAATTTTTTATCAGTGCAATTTATACAGTCTGTCAAGTTACTTCCTATTCTGTACAAAAAATATCACACATTTTACATCCTACTAAGGATTGATGGAGAATAAAACCTAAGGCTAGTTACTGGTCTTTCTTCATGTTAAGTAGGTTTGTTGTTGCTGATAAAAATGTTTCTTCGAACTTTGGAATGGAAAACCTCTCCACTGACTCTCTGGAAAAATAAAACAATTTAAACATATAAAAAAAAAAAATACTGTTGAACCCCAAAGACTTTTCAATGTTTGGTAACATAATTTTACAAGGTTTTTCTCACCTTCTGAACGTAAAAATCTCTATTCTTGAAAATAATTTACAACTAACCACAACAAAAAGACAAATCTATACAATAATATTTGTCCTCAAATGAAATAATTAGCATTGATTCACAATAGTACTGTTTATTAACATAGACTAACCAAAACAAGTAGACTTATCATCCTATTGTAAATTTTGAAGCTCGTTTTTCGTGTTTGGTTCGTGTTGGTGACACTGATTGCAAGTGTCAACAAAATTTTGTTCTAATATTTGAGGGTTAATTATAATTTCATCATTTGTGCTTTACTGTTTGGTTATAAAAGGGGAGTTACTGTTTATGATTGATCGTTTTATTTGGTTAAATGAGGTTTTAGATGACTGAAATAACAAAAAACAACCTCTACCTACAGTGCATCAGACGGAGATAACAATTAAATTGTTTGCTGAAACAGTTTGCTGAAAAACATTCTTGCTATACGAACCTTGAACTCTTTCGGATTTTGTCTAGTTGTTCCTTGGGCATTTGGACTATTTGTACAATTGCATCTGCAAATTCCTCGGCAGTTTCAGCTAGGAAGCCAGTGCGGTCGTTCTCACAGTCGTTCACAATATCCATCTTTGGTCCTCCAGATTTGTGAGCCAACATGATGAGGCCGGCTGCCATACACTCCACTACCCCTGTAAAACAATATTACATGGATTTACATAAATTAGATTTTCCAATTGGTTTTAGTTTGAGTCCTTAAAGTATGAATCAGCAGAGATCAAGAAGGCAGAAGGGCAATTTAATCAAGTTAATCTGTGATTTTATTTTACCTTGATAAGGTTAAATCCCCCGAGGTTAATGCACTGACAGAATTTAAGAACACCTTAAGACCCTTAAGAACACAACAAAAACACCTTTTAGCGAATTTCCCATATAGGAAATAAGCTACTCATAATAAGACCTGGACCCGTGACCGATTTACTTTTTTGTTTTGAGGTCCCCAGAGGCCAAAAACACCATCCGGACAAATTCATATAATATATACTTTTTACTTGTTTATGGATATATGATGATACAATCTGGCAAATTTATTGAGCGGAGAGAGCGAAGCTCTTATACGTCGACTTTTATGCATTTCGTAATACGCAAACTCCTCCTAGACGGCTGAATCAATCGTTTTCAAATTTTGCATGGTGATAAAGACCATATCGGTGAGTGCCAACATCTATATGGCGTTAAAAAAGTATCTCAGGAATCCGCCCCACTGGGTCTCAAAGTTTCAATGTAATCCTTATGGAAGCAGTATTTGACACATAAACAAAGACATATGATCAGCTGTTGACTTTTGAATGCCGTAGGTAAATAAATAGCTGTTAGCATTATTCCACAGATATTAGAACATAAACGGTGGTATGGATCATAAATATAATCAAATGACGACACGAGCTTGAGGTCCGTGACGTAGGAAGTTGTGAAGGAAGTAGTAAAGGTGAGAAGTCTGGAGTGTGGAAACTGTTTAAGACGATGAGATTTTGGTAGGTATCTGCATTCCTAAAATTCTATGGGAAGGGAGGAAACAGGTCCGCGACGTAGGAAGTGGTGAAGGGAGTAGTCAAGGCGAGCTGTCCGGAGTGTGGGAACTGTTTATGACAATTAGATTAAGGTATCTGCATCCTAAAATGCTATTGGAAGGGAAGGAAACAGGTCCGCGACGTAGGAAGTGGTGAAGGAAGTAGTAAAGGCGAGCTGTTCGGGGTATGGGATCTGTTTATGACCATTAGATTAAGGGTTTTGCAATCCTAAAATGCTATGGGAAGGGAGGAAAACAGGTCCGTGATGTAGGAAGTGGTGAAGGAAATAGTCAAGGCAGGTCTGGAGTGTGGAAACTGTTTATGACTATTAGATTATGGTATCAAAATTCCTAAAATGCTTTGAGGCGGGAGGAAAACAGGTCCGCGATGTACGAAGTGGTGAAGGAAGTAGTCAAGGCGAGCTGTCCGGAGTGTGGGATCTGTTTATGACCAATAGATTAAGGTATTTGCATTCTAATATGCTAAGGGAAGGAAGGTAAACAGGTCCGTGACGTAGGAAGTGATGAAGGAAGCAGTAAAGGCGAGTTTTTCGGAGTGTGGGAACTGTTTATGACGATTAGATTAAGGTATCTTGGTATCTACAATCTTAAAATTCTATGGGAAGTGAGGGAAACAGGTCTGCAACGTGAGAAGAGGTGAAGGTAGTAGTAAGGTGAGCAGTGTGGAGTTTGGGAACTGGAAACAGTTTGTAGCAGTTAGATTAATGTATCTGCAATGCTGAAATGCTATGAGAAGGGATGGAAGCATGGCCACGACGTATAAAATGGTGAAAGAAGTAATAAAGGCTAGCAGTGCGGAATGTGGGCAATGTTTGTGGCAATTAGATTAACGTATCTAATATACTAAAATGCTATGGAAAGCGATGAAAGCAGGTCCACGACGTAGGAAGTGGCTTAGGAAGTAGTAAAGTATGAACATATTGTGAGAACCGTCTGTGGCAGTTAGATTAATGTATCTTCAATCCTAAAATGCTATGAGAAGGGAAGGAAACAGGCCCCACGACGTAGGAAGTAGTGAAGGAAGTAGTAAAAGCTGGCACTGCAGAGCAAGGGAACCGTTTGGGCAGTTAGATAAATGTATCTAATACTTAAATGCTATGAGAAGGGATGGAAACAGGTCTATGACGTAGGAAATGGTGAAGGAAGTAGTAAGGCTTGCAGTGCAGAGTGTGGGAAGTGTATTTGGCAATTACATTAATGTATCTGCAATCCTAAAATGCTATGGGAAGAGAGGGAAACAGGTCCACGACGTAGGGGATGGTGAAGGAAGTAGTAAAGGTGGGCATTGTTGAGTGTGGGAATGGATTAATGTATCTGCAATGCTAAAATGCTATGGGAAGAGACTGTAGACTGTAGGTTAAAATTATTATGAAGCACGAATCGTTACATATTTCGATACGTATTCAATAGTTTACAATAGAAATTTACAACTGAGTTGACAACAGCTGAGTTTTACTCCATAGAGGCTAAAAACGAATTTTATTCCCTTAAGAGTAAAAATGCTACTAGACCCGCAAAGCATGCACCAATGACGACTGTTTTTACTGCAGTATGACAAAAACAATATAATATGAACCCTTGATGACTCCGCTCAATTTTGTGGATGTCTCTGCGAACGCCACCTAGTTTATTTTATCCTATGCCAATTTACCTTCCCCGTAGCAGCAACCTAAGCACTCGTTAAACCTAATGTTATTTAAATTGAAAATAAATGTCTTATTTATGGAAATATTTTAGTAAAAATGTAATCACTCAAGTTGAAATTTGCTTTGTCTGCAGGTTTGCTGTGGCGGGGGATATTTTAGTATAAATATACAATATAGGGCTTAAAATTGCATAAAATTAGATCAAGATTCTGGATTTGAACCAAGTAAACAAACAATCTTATCTTTAAGATTTTTTTCTACTAATTCCAACTTGCCCTTACCTTTATATGAATAATGAATTTATTTCCTCAAAAACAAACAATTAACAAATCATACAACAAATATATAACATTTAACAGTGACAATGTTATCTCGTCGTTAGCGTACAAACTAGTTTAATCTTGTATCTTGGTCATGCTCCGATTAGGCTACAGTTCGATTGAAGCTTAAACACACTTTTTGCGGTGAATTTAAGTACTAGCTAACAGCCTACTTCATGTGAGTATAACCTATAAGAAGGGCACAAGCCCTTTCATACAGAGGGTATAGAAACTGAAAGATGGTGGAAGATTACTGTTAGGTCTAATTCGTCTCTTAAATCACAACTCTGAATCCCTTTTTTGAAGAGCTATATACCCCAACTAACTACTAATTCCAACTTGCCCTTACTTTTATATGAATAATGAATTTATTTCCTCAAAAACAAACAATTAACAAATCATACAACAAATATACAACATTTTACGCAAACTAGCCACTGTTGACACATTTTTTCACACTTATTTCCTCGTTGCAAATAAAAATTAGTAACGTTGACCCATTTGCATTTAAATTGTTATCAACTCAACAGAAATTTGAATGTTTGTATTACCTATTTTTGTAGGCCTATTTGTAATATTCCTTATTTGCGTTCTCTAGTACCCTTTCTCTATTCTAGAACTCAGTCGAGCGGCAGAAATAAAGGACCGGCTGCCGTAAGGTACAACGATATTCGGCTTAGGACACAGACCCAACCCTTTGGTTCACAACTGCATGTCCACAACTATGAATAATCCGTACAAAAATTAGTTACCTATATTTTATAACCATAACAACAAACCAATGCCAAAGTGTTCATTCCACATTGTGTGTAGTCCGATAGTGGCGGAGGAGAATTCTCGTTTCAACTGGTCAAATGAAACGTTCACTTTGAACTTTACATTGTCACTGACTTCAGCCTCAGTCGCTAACTGTCGCAGGGCAGCCACTCTTGACTCGTCTTCTGAGTTGCGGCAAGACCCGACCAGAACCAACCGAACCTGAGCAATAAAGGTTATTTTCCACTTTAATACCGCAAACTTTGAATGGGTAAGAAACTTTGGAGAAATAACTCAACATTCATAAATCTATCAGAATCTTTTACTAAATCTTATAGGAATGAGTCTCTTGATACACATTGTAAGCTTCTTATGCTAAAAATACAAACCACTGTATATTTGAACATCAATGGCATATTGTTAAGAAACAATGTAGTTTCATAAAACTACATCTTTTTAGCGAATTTCCCATATAGAGAATAAGCTATTACCGTTGTACTCATGGCAAGACCTGGACCCGGGACTGATTTACTTTTTCGTTTTGAGGTCCCTAGAGGCCAAAAACACTATCCCCTCAAATTCATATCAACTACCTAGATAAATTAAAATTTAAGTATCCTACTACAAATTGCCAACAACAAAAATGTTTCTTTAGTTACCTTACAAAATAAAATAGTTAACGAAATTATAAACATACCTTGGACCAAACGTCAGGAGAAACCTTAGATTTAACAATCTGAAATGCTTTGATTTGCAGCGGATGGTCTTTTTCAGGTCGAAACTGACCCAAAGATAAAACACGCACCTCTTCAGATTCTGAAATCAAATTCTTTTGTCACAGTTATATGTCTTAGATAGCAAATAATGATCATTCTTATGGGAATGTAGGAATTGAACTGCCTCAGGGCATAATATTTTACAGCTTTGCATTTTGCCCTTGGGTGTCTTTTCGACATGCCCTGTCTTGCCCGGACCTGTGTGTGGTGCTCTATGAGCGCCTGTGCATTTCCCGTTGCACAAGACGCCCCGGGTCAAAATGCCCTGTCACGTCCCACCTTGCCAGGTTCTGTGTGTGTGTCATCCTGTAGGCTATATTTGTTTGTTTAAATATATCCTTAATCAACAGCACTAGTTTCTTATCTTTTTGTCTGGAAATTACTTGAGTGTATTTATGACTTAGGCCTAATCATAATTCACAGATTTTTACTTAAAATTATTATCAATTATACAACAAATAATCTGGAAAATACCTTGTCTCTGAATCAGTTTAAGAGGTGACACATCACACGGTGGGTAGACAAGGTAGGCTGGCTGTCTCCACAACTCTACAATGTGATCTCTGGTCCAGCTGGAGTTGACCATCACCACATCAGCTGATTTGCCAGCTGCTCTGTACAGCTGCAACAATCAGCTGATCGTCAAATGCTTTAAAATATTACTCAACGTGTAAATATAACTATTAATTTTGTACAGTAGGGGCCCTACTTATTTACTAAATAGTTTTTATATAAACGATGGATACAGACGGCATTGCATGGTAGGCCTAAATCACATTGCTAATGGAAAGTAGACCAACAGCTGTGGTTATTTTAGTTTAAAAGAAATCAAATGTTTTGATTTCAGAAAATATGTAAACAAACTTACTCCCTGTAAGGTTTATATTAGAAATTTAGAATGCCTAAAAATAGAAAACCTACAGAGTTTTCAAATACTTAATTTCATACAAACATCATTGAACTCATATAGAACAACTTCCTAAAGTTTTATGGTGAACGGATGAATGGTTTGCAAACGCATAAAGGACGAACAGACAAACATTAATTCAATATATAGATTGTTGTTGTTGTGATATATAGATTGTTGATACAGTAGAATCTTTGGCTATTGATAAGTTAGACTTCCTATTACAGTAGAAGCTCATTGTCCTGCCGATTTCAGGACTTTGACAGTATTGGATTACGGAATGTTTTTATAAGTCATCTCTTGCTTAATTGATAACTAATGTAAATAAAAAATAAATTCAGACCAACCCTAGTAAAGCAAACTATAAGATGACTGTATTGATGTTAGTTTGTATAATGGAGGGTAAACTATTTCCCTTATCAAATCCAAATAATAAAATTTTCTACAACAAAAAGTTAAAGACTGATCCTTACCCAAGCAAACACTCTATAGTAGACAAGTTTGCCCTGTGTAAGCAGAGGACTCCGGGCAAACACAGCTCGATTGTTGTGAGCCTCGACACGTTCTGACACGCGGAGTAGCATCTCTGTTGTGATGGTAGGATAGTGTACGTAACATGCCACTTTGCAGCCTCCAACCAGGGAAAAGAGGGGTAGTGTGAAGGCGTACCCCATCGTATCAATGTAAATATCTGAAAAAAATATATAAGAAAACATTACAAACTAAAATAAAAATAGTTAATCACTTCTGGTGCAACAATAAAAAAAACATCCAAAATTGTTATTCTTTCTGATAGCTTTCTTCTTGAAAGCTCAATAGACCATTGATTGTCTTGGTAACCAAATCGTTACACTACTCGCCTTCAAATATGAAGATTGCTGATTCAATGCTGAGAATGATAAATTCTGCATCTAGATGCCATTTGTCATTTGGATATATATTAGTGACGGTATGCTATCTAACAGGAGTTTGACGTTAGTTAGTAACAAGACCAGGGAATGGGTTCCCAGACAAAAACTTTATTTTAATGAGTATTAGCCTCCTTACCATATTTAAATACTATAAATTGGTTTTAATACCTGCATTTATGGGATATTTAATATTGCATTATAACAAATAGTTTCGACTCCAACACTGGAGTCTTCTTCAGAATAGTACAGGTGTCATGAACAAACAAGAAGACATCTTAGCTTGAGGAAGTCTCCAGTGTTGAGTTGAAACTAGTTGCTATAACGCAACATTAATGATCACATAAATGCAACTAGTTACACCAATACAAAAAAAATGTGCTATTGGTGTGGAAATATCAACAATAATACATTTCTACAGCCTACGGCTTTTGTTTAGATGGTACGAATTTGAAACACATACCACCTACCTGGTAGATACCGCAACATAGCCTCCAACCCCAGTATGATAGAGCCGATGCTCTGGCCTAGCAGAGTACACACTGGGTACCACTTAGCCTCCACCAAGGTCCTGGTCCTTAGATAGACAAAGCTGACTGGGCGAGGTAGCGGAGTATTGAGTCTCTTGGCCGCCAACTCCAAGATGTCCGCTGGCGCAGCATCTGTGTCACCGGTGTACACAACAATGTCCACATCAGGATGGCGCTGTTGTAATGCTCGGATGGCGCACCACAACACTTTTTCTCCGCCACCTCCGGCGTTGCAGTATGGATGGAATATACCCAGCGTTAGGCCATCTTTTTGTGTCACTCTTCTCTTTCTAAAAGCCTTAAGGTAAAAAAGTTTACTTGAGTTCAGTTTCGTAATTTTTTACAAAACAGAAAAAAACGATAGGTACAAGTTTTTGTTCTCTACCCATTTTGATGCTGGATGATTTTTCAAAATAGATTTCATAGATTTTCATAAAATAATCTCCATTATTATCCAGCTCAATGTCAAATCTAGTTTATTGACCCATTAAATAAAAAATATGCTTTAGTTTTGGCTTTCTCATTTCAAGAGTGTGTCATTTTAGTGTCATAAGTCTCTGTTAAGTATATTTGATTTTATAATCTGTTTGTAGCCAATGTTTTTTGGAATAAACTATATATTCATTCATTCATTCAAGAAAGTAACACTTATAATGGGTAAATTTAAGCAACTTGGTTGGAATTACTTATAAACATGAATAAAACATCTTTTTTCAAAAATGAAAACACTAAGCTAGCGAAAATCAACAGTACAATATTGTCTTAATTAAGTAACTAGCTTGCCGAACATAGTAGCTTGGCGGTAGTGCCTTGGGAGACAAACATTGTTGATGAATACCAGATGCCTGACAACAATCTTATAACGACTGTCACCACTGGCATGACCATATTACCACAAGGGTGGTTTTCTGTCTTTACATTACCACACAGACTAAGTTTTAGTATGGTAGTCAGAAAATTGAAAAAAAAATTTGTGAAGCAAACAACTTAATGTCAGATGGATTTAAAATGTATAACTTTTATATTTATTTAGTTCTGTGTACATGATAATTCTTTTGGAACGATAACGCCCTGCTAGTAAGAGTCAGAGACCTAACAGCTTTCAAGACAACACTATGAATTGTTATTATTCCTTTAAATTAATCTAAAAAAGTTATAAATAGGCCTAAACTATAGATAAGAAGTATATTGTTTTGATTGATTTTAACAATTGATGTAAATCTAAAAATGCATCACACATTCTTACCTGTAATATTAAATGTCCGAGTGTTATCACAGTTGAAATAAAAATTGCTATGTAGAAGAGAAACATAATATTATCTATCATACAGCATAACGGCATATTAGTAGGCGTAAATCTGAAAAAATTAAATTTCATAACACTCACAATAACAAAAATATGAATCAACTAACTTAACACATTTTAATTTTTGTAGATCTATTCTCTAAAGGCAATAAAATGTTGTAATTTGATTTAAATATGCTTAACTTAGTCCCTAGCGATTTCTGTGAAATCGTAGGCTACTTTTAACTTACGGTATTCCTCTTTCATCGAAGGTCAAAGGACATACTTATAGGGTGGGTATGGCAGTTCTAAACCGTTTGTTATGATTGGAATTGAATTGACCCATTATTAGTATACCGTACCAATAATAGTAGGTTGTCCATAAATTAGGTTTTAAGGTCTCCACCGAGCTTCTGTTACAGCCACACTTCAAGCTAGTTGGGAGATCTAAGACCAACTTCATAGTTCTTTATTTTATTCTCTACACAATTGAACTTGTGTTAGCTATTGCATGCTATTATTGATGTATATTTTAAATTATATAATTTATTATTTATTACTAGAAATTAGTTCCTATTCTGCATGTTGTTCATGTTTGAGTAGGCCAAAATGTCATTTAATTAAGTTGTTCTAGTTGTTTCATTTGCACATCAAAAAATTAGAATGATTTAAATTTTAACTTAACACCTTTATACCTACCTATAAAGGTTAATAAATTTTTCTTCTATATTTATTAATTAATCTTTTGTAGGCCTATAGGCAAAAATTTGGCTATATTTTTATTGTTAGAGTAAGCCTAGTCTGCAACTGCATATCTTGGCTTGGGTATAAGTTAATGTTTTGGGTTGTTGCATGACAATATCTCAATTAAATTGTTGGCTAATGTAACATTTTTGATTATCAATAAGGAATCTGAACTTGAATCTACAGTGCAGTCGCCAGGGCCCCACCTCGCATGACGATTAGTCTTGTCGTAGTATTCAAAAACATTATGAAAGAAAACTGACGCTCCCACCAAGTATTAATTGCATTTTGTGATTTATGTAACTTAGGCTGAATTGTCAACCACTATTAAACTCTATTGCCAACTGACGGTCCTGTAAGCAGTTGAGTGTTTGGAATTAATATGTTCAAGAGTGGAGGGGGTGAAAACATTTGCATGATATTTTCCATATTGTCAGCTGACTGATGATGTTCAGCAGACTTGTTTGAAGCAGTGACCAAAGTTACTTAGGGGAATATTGAATGCGGAACGCAGTGTGACTCAATGAGGGATAGGCCTAGTATGAAACTAACAAGGGAGGTTTCTCCAAGACCATTAAGGGCTACAGTTAGCTTACGAAGTCTGAAACATGCCAAACAGCAAACAAAGTTTTTTTTTATTCCATCTGGAGCTTTTCTGCCATTTTGTATGCAGAATAACCATTTGAAAACATTTTGAATTGATAAAACAATTGAAACGTTTTGATTCTTTTAAATCAGTGGCGGATTTGTTAATTGTTAAGTTTACACTACTTAATTGTTAGTGGCCGAAACATATGTAAAGCCGGGTTTTCCTAGGCGCGGAAGTGGAGAGCGGAGAGAGGAACGCGGAGAGCGGACTCCACTTGTCTTAGGTAGGCCTAATTTAATGTTACTGTCTTCCTAGAAGCGGAGCGGAATACCATGCTAATCTCTTTTCCACTCTCCGCGCCTAGGAAAACCCAGCTTTAATGCTATCAGTGTAGGATTCGGGCTTCGGGCCAACAACGTCATTATTTGTTTATGTTTATGATCCACCCCTACCTTGTAACCTCTAACTTAAACACTTTTCTGAAAACGTGTCAATGTCCAACAGGAATCTTCATGGATTTACCCTCTTCCTACAGAAATAAAATCAAAGAGCCAGCTTTAGGGTACAGTTTCTTAACTGGGCTAACTTATGCTAAAATCGATTGAAACTATCAAATTGAAAATATTGTATAATAATCGATATTTTTAAATATATCGGCTGCACTTTACTTGACGTCCTACACTCATTCGATTGTTTTTTCGATTCGATATTTTCATTCGATATATCGTTTGGTTAGTTAGGTTAGGTTAACCTTACCTAACTAACCAAACGATATATCACAATGAAGCAATCGATTAATCGATATATCGATCAATATTTTCATTCGAATGAGTGTAGGACGTCAAGTAAAGTGCAGCCAATATATCTACTATAAAATTAAACTATCATAACCTAACCTAACCAACCAAACTTGCTGATGGTGAAAAAATCACATGAAAGTTTATTAATCGAATCAATAGTTTCAATCGATATTAGCATAGCCCAGTTAAGAAACTGTACCCTCACACAATGTCATAGTCATGACACCTGTGTGATGTATAATATAATTCAAAATCATAATCTTACCTATATTCACACAATCCTAACCTAAATTCAAAGTTGAATTAGCCTAGCTAAAAGGTAAGTTACTATTATTGGCATTGGACTTAATTCCTAAAAAACAACTGAAATAAATAAGTTAACAATAAATATATTTCACAGATATATTTAAAGTGGTAACTGAAACTGACACGTCGCCCAAAATTTATTGCCTTGTTAACATTTTCTAACTTTGTTGATTGACAATGATAACACTCAACAACAACAACACTGACACTGACAGTTGAGTTTTAGTTTCTAATTCAACGAGACCGTTCGTGGAGGACCACAACCCCCCACCACCGCGCCCGGGACAGCAGAATTGGTATCGGAACGGAAACGGAATCACAGAAAACATTAACCGTAGTATGTTTTCTGTGACGGAACACGGAACATACGAACTGCACCACTGCACTCATCAAAATCAAATTGTTGTTTATCACTAACTGTCGTCTCCTGTCAAAACGTCAAAGTCCTTGTTTACATTATGATTATGATCATCTGGATACAGTAATAATAGTATTTTATTTTTGCAATCATCAATATATACAGGGTGAGTTTTAATTGTCCCCCCCCCCAACTTTTTTCTACATTTTTTCAAATATCAATCCCAGACCACTTCCAAACATTGTTGGGTAGTAAGTACTTCATTTTGACAAGGTGGCCATTTCCGGCCGCCATCTTGGATCCACCATATTGGATGCAAAATTTTTTTTTCAAATGTAAGGGTGGGGTTGTGACCCATTATTTCGAACTAAATTTTTACCCTGATTACAATGCCGCAAACTGTTTAAAAAAATCTTGATTCATTCTAAAGTTATGAGGGCTTTTTAAAACTTTATTTTTAGCCCATTTTAACATTGTGCATTTACAAACTAAGACCATAATCTCAAAATAGTGCTAGATAAAGATAAGTATACACTACCAGTAATTGTCGACCTATTTTCACTTGGTTATGACTGATGTATTTTTTTCGGCCGCCATCTTGGATCCGCCATTTTGAAATGTGATAAATTATTTTAAATATGAAGGGGGCGTTGTGACCCATCATTTCGAACTACTTTTTTAAGCTGAACTTAATTCCATGATCCGTTTTTCATTTACATTTTTTGATTTTGAAATATTGACATTTTTAACAAAAAAATTTCAATATTTCATAAATAAAACTTGATAACAAAAAATGGATTGCGGCATTGTCTTCAGCTTAAAAAAGTAGTTCGAAATGATGGGTCACAACACCCCCTTCATATTTAAAATAATTTATCACATTTCAAAATGGCGGATCCAAGATGGCGGCCGAAAAAAATACATCAGTCATAACCAAGTGGAAATAGGTCGACAATTACTGGTAGTGTATACTTATCTTTATCTAGCACTATTTTGAGATTATGGTCTTAGTTTGTAAATGCACAATGTTAAAATGGGCTAAAAATAAAGTTTTAAAAAGCCCTCATAACTTTAGAATGAATCAAGATTGTTTTAAACGGTTTGCGGCATTGTAATCAGGGTAAAAATTTAGTTCGAAATAATGGGTCACAACCCCACCCTTACATTTGAAAAAAAATTTTGCATCCAATATGGTGGATCCAAGATGGCGGCCGGAAATGGCCACCTTGTCAAAATGAAGTACTTACTACCCAACAATGTTTGGAAGTGGTCTGGGATTGATATTTGAAAAAATGTAGAAAAAAGTTGGGGGGGGGGACAATTAAAACTCACCCTGTATAATTCCGTAAGTCAAATTTTTGTAAAGAAATTGTGAGTGACTGGATGGCCGTAGAAGGATGGGAGGGGTCTTATTTTAAAGGTCTTGACATGAATTTTGAGGGAAAACTATTCATTTTTCTTAATTATGCACCAAAAGGTTATTACAGAATAAAATATTTCACATTTAAATAGCATGGGAATCTAGGTCGTGTCTCCTTTGTTTACTTTAAACATGTGGTTTGACTTTATTTAAAGCATATGGTAAATGACTATTAATTGGCAATGACTATTAATTGGCTACAGAAGTTGAATTAATAGTCAGTGAAAGTAAACATGCGTGCAAATGAAAATGAAACAACATTTTGTGATTGGCTTCTACGCTTAGGTAATGGAACCATAGAGAGCAATAGGGCAACACCGGCAATTGACATCCCAGATAACTTTGTTCTGTCTGATTGTGCAATTGTACAACATATTTATGGCAACTCAATAAATCCAGAAAATATTCAAAACTACTCCAATCAAATAATTGTATGTCCTTTAAATGAACAATGTGATAATTTAAATGAAGAAGTATTAAAAATCATCGAAGGAGACTAGGCCTATAAGGAATACTACAGTAATGATGAAGTAGTTTCAGAAGACCCTACAGAGAGGTTGAACATACCAATTGAGTTTATAAATTCAATTACACCATCTGGAATGCCACCACACAAATTAGTTTTAAAAGTTGGTTCAATAGTGATGCTCAGAAGAAATATGAATGTCTGAAAAAAGTGTAAAGTTGGAAGTAATTACTGGAGTAGACAAAGGGAACATATTTTTCATACCAAAAATAAAACTAATATCTAAAGATCCTAATATGCCCTTTAAATTTACAAGGATTCAATTCCCATTGCGATTAGCTTTCGCTATTACTATAAATAAAGCGCAAGGCCAAACCTTCTCAAAAGTTGTCATTTATTTGAAAAAACCAGTGTTTACCCATGGTCAACTTTATGTTGCATTTAGCCGGGTAAAGCGGCCAGATGACGTTAAAATAGTAATCGAACCAAATAAAGACCAAGGAATGGACCAAAATGGATATATTATACAACAAATGTTGTTTTCAGAGAGATTTTGTTACTGAACTGAATTAGTATTTTACAATTTGGAAGATGACATTATCTCTATGTGTTGTGTTTTTCTAAGTGAATTTGTCTATATTCAAAGAAATGTATATACATTTATTTAATTAATAGTCATGAAGATTATTATTGAAAATGTTCTTTTGTTGTACATGATTATATTGTGATTTATGATTATATTACATAAATTTTCTAATCATAATACATGATTGTATTATGATTAGAAAATTTGTGTTATAAACACACCACATGAAGAGTCCTTTCGAATTTTTATCCTAAACAGAGTGGACATAAAAATGAATTATGCAGGTATGTGATAACTATTATACATAATTATAATACACAAAAAAATTAAACGATAATTCAAGGTAGAGTACGGTAACCCATGAGACAAATAATGTTTACAAAATTAGAATATATTACATGTATATAGGGGCTATTGCCCCTACAAGCCACTAGTTCAATGTAAAGATTTACTGATTTAATGGAAATTATATATTACTAGCTGTAACTCGCGGGCTTTGCCCCGTTTAACTTCTTAATTTTCAAGATTATCTCGTTTTATGGCTCAATCACGTCCGGTTGATGTTTGTTCGCTACGCTCACTCACCTTTAGGTTGGAGCTCGTTCGCTGCGCTCACTTGCCTTCAGGTTAGCTCGTTCGCTACGCTAACTCCCCTCCAGGTTGAAGTTCGTTCGCTACGCTCACTCACCTTTTGGTTGCAAATTAGCTGTTTTCATAAATGTAAAAGAAATAATAGTGCTGCACCCTGTTGGTAATCCTTGTAACTTTAATGCTATTGAACATCATAGAACAGAACCAACTTGTTTAATTGAAACAGCTGTTAAGATTCAATAATTCCATTTCTCATAAGGTTAACATGGGAAACTCCAGAGCCACTGGGGCGGAGCCCGAAAGGATTTTTGAAATAAGAATATGCCTATATGTTAGTTAATCGGGAATGTGAGCTATCATCATGCCAAATTTCAGCCCAATCCGTCCAGTATTTTTCGCGTTCACTTGTCACAAACATACATCCATACATCCATACATCCATCCATACATCCATACATCCATACATCCAAACATCCAAACTTTCTCATTTATAATATTAGTAGGATTTACTATTTAAATTTGGGTTTGCGTACATATTGCAAAAGAAAAAATCGAGAAAGCCTACACAATTTGATATATTTCACCACCAAATAAGAAAAATGAATTGACACAGTGCTGTTGTATTTCTTGAGAAATCCTTGAAAGAACCGATTTTCAAACTATGGAAACATGGAAAAGTCATAGAACGCCACCAATTAGAAATGGGGATAGTTTTTAGGTTATTAGGTTTATTTTAGGTTATAAGCCTATAATAAAGGAATGTCGCCAAGATGATTCCTATACAAACGGTGAAGAGAATGTTAGCCGAAGGGAAACAGAAGGAAACCTCTACTGTATTAACTTTGTGATGATTGCAGCGGAAACTCCTCTTAATTAGGCTAAGTAAAATTTGTACAACAAGGACATTAAAAATATTATGTTTTATTTTGATCAAAGTCAAGCGGTTTTGGAATTACTACACCCAAGAAACATTTAATTTTTTATAAAACTTTCACTAAAGCGCTCAATTATTATTCACAGTTAAGGGAAACGAAAATCATCTGAACAACATCAGGCGGCCTTTTAACTCTACATTTTTTCAGGTAAATACAATTGACGTTATTACAACAACTAATTTTGGCAGACAGGTTATGCATAGGAATGAGGAATTCAGGTAGTTCTTTAGTAATAATGTGAACAAATTATACTCTTATTTAAGTAAAAAAGTAAAATAATTATTTGTAAAGACATACTGGCAGCAATGACGAATATAATCATGAACAATCTCACTCGGCTGGAGTTCTATTTGTAGAAAACACTAAATAATAGCCTTTGAAAAATTATAAAATACAGTACCAGTTTATTTGTTTTATGGTAACTGTAGGAAAAATATAATGTGCATCTCAAGTGCAAGTGCAATTGCCTCACTCGAGAAATTATTCTGAGTAAGTATTTCCTTCGAGTGAGTCAATTGCTCCCTTTGCTCTTTAGTTGCACAAATAACTATTGTTCCTATCGAATCGACTATTAGCACAGAAAATATACTACTATAACCCTGGTTATAACTGGTTGTAGTAGTATGTTTTCTGTGCTATTAGTTCTGTTCTAAAGAGGGAGGACTCAGGAGACTTGGGATTTGAAGAAGAAGAAGCCGCACCGATGTACCGTTCCGATTCCAATTCCGCTGTGCCACGGCGCGGTGGTGGGGGGTTGTGGTCCTCCATGAACGGTCTCGTTTCTATTCATTTCATTCTCCTCATTCAAGTCCCTAATCCATCCATTCCAA